GCAAAAGATATTTTTTTTGCCATGGGTCAAAATATCAGTGGCGTGTTTACAGTGAAGAGCTCTATTAGTGAACCTGCTGATGATGCAGTTTTCAATGCTACGTGGGAGGCCTTTGCGGACACACGCCCACAGGCTGTTATTGTGTTTGGTGCACCTATTAATGATACTGCGAAATTCATAATGAGGATGCTGACAGACGAACGTACTGCTGGTGCATATCTGCTGGGCCCACTTGCTGTGCAAGACATGCTTCTAAGTGTGTGGCGTGAAGCTGTAGATGCAGGTGTTCCGTTTGTGAGTGGTCAAGTGATTACGACGGGGACGAACCCACATGCAAATAACGTTGAGTACGTTGCTATCAAGCGCTTCCAGAAGGATATGGAGGAGTATCTAAGAAAAAACAGTAATGGTGTTTTCCAGGGACCTCAGCACTTCCTTAACAATGACAACGATGGTGAGATGATGGTTGCTGGGTGGATTGCTGGTGAGGTTCTTGTCCAGGCGATGAGCAGCCGTGAGTGGTTGAAGAACAGGAAATCTTTTGTTGCGTCACTGTTTAACCAGCGTCGTTACGTCATTGATGACCTTGTGATTGGTGACTATGGTGGTGAGTGTAGAGGTAAAGCGGCCATTTATGGTGCCACATGCCGTTGCAACCAAGGTGGGAGAACTGTGCATACAAAGATGTTTGTAGACGATTTTAGAGCAATCGGAATTTACGATGGTGAAATGGTATTTAATATCTCTGAGTGCTACACTTCTCTCGTCTATATTCCTCCCGTGTTGAGTGTCTCATTATTATTATATAGTGATGGTGATATGATATTTGCTTCATCAAATGAAATTTATGCAGGGTTCTCTGGGGGAGAAATAATTAATGTGGGATGGTGGCAAAAGGGTAAAATATTGATTAACTTAATTACTACAGAAGTAATAGATGCGCACATTATGCTTATGGAACAAATGAATGAGAGACGTATTCATGCAGTTGCTGGCCTCGTCACGGAGGCGATGTTGGATGTCCCGAATGTGACCTTCATTGACCCA